TTAAATGTATCCTTTATTGCACTTGTAAATTAAATAGATAATACATTTATAAATACTGTGAGCAAGGGTGGACATATCTCTGAAAGAGATCTCTTCCAGTCAACCCAATACAGTGAGAAAGCATGTAGCGGGCAGCCGAAATGCACGAGTACTGTACAAACAACGTCAATACTAATCAATACATTAGCTACAAATAAACAGTTAAATTAAATATTAATATACATTATAATATTACTTATAAATACATAAATATAATAATATCTATTTACTTATATAATAAATGTAAAATTTATATCAATTTTTATTTCAGACCAACTGTTTTGTATATGATGTGTATAAATGGTGAAAATAAAAAAAAAAAATCTTTTAATATTTTACCATATAACTGTATATTTTTCACAGATACGTCCGTAGTCCATTTGTATGACAAAAAATTTTGAGCTCTTTTATTTAGTTCTCCGGACACATGAGGGAGGGTCACTTTTTTATGTTCTTTACCTCACAACTCGGTCATTTATAAACAGATTTCGAGAATTATTTTTTTGTTCGAAAGGATATACCTACTTTCAGATTGATCCTATAAAAATTAAATGAAAATAGATTCATTTTTAAATCAAAATAGTTGGTTTTGCTACAATTGTAATTAGTTTTTTTTTGTGTAAAATAAAATTTTTAATTATTAGTACACCACTTGCTACTGACAGAGAATTCATCCTCACACACACGAACCTAAATGATCGCGTGCAGTTAGGTTTTGATGGGAATTCCTTTCGTAAACACTTAGACTGTGGAATGAGCTCCCTGCTGTAGTTTTTCCTAGAGACTACAATACTGTAGGAATTTAAAAAGTTACTACAGTATCAGCAATGTGCACGTGACACCCCTGTATTGCAGGCGTCAATGTGCTGCAGTGATCATTTACCATCAGATGGGCTGTTTACTTGTTTGCCTTTGCCATTGCCACCTCTGAAGTATAAAAAAATAAATCAATTTCTATGGGCAAAACATCCAGTATATATATATATATATATATATATATATATATATATATATATATATATATATATATATATATAATAATAATAATAATGAGTAGGGATAATATTTATATTATTATATGTATTACATCTCCCATATCTAGAACTAACCAAATTTTTCATCGTGCCTCCCACCAAATTGTTTATAATTACTCCTCTCCATCCAAAGGTTGCCTGGAAGAGATCGCTCTTAGCGATAAGGTCGCCCATTGTTTTCTCATTGTGATTATTTCTTGTAATTATTTATTTTTATAATAAGTTTACTATTGTAATCTTTTGGAGGTAACAATAAAGAGTATCTATCTATCTTATGAATTAGATTTCACTTGTGTATATATAGCCATTGTTGAAAAACTAACCTTGATTGTTAAAATTTTGTCGTTTCGAGCAAAAATAATATTTTCCGCGTTTTAATAACCTAAGGTTTAGTCATTTGATTTTTAAAATCAAAACGATTTTTTTTCATCCATGTCTAAATGTTTTATCAAATAAACTAAATATTGAAAACACTTAACTAATCATTCTATTACATCTATTCATAACATAATTGTTATTTTTGTTATAAAAAAAATACCTACTGCCAGTGTAGATACAACAGATATGATCTGGGACTCGCGATAACGAAACCAATTGCGCGTTATTTCCACACAAAAACATCAAGTTATCAAGGTCATCGGTACTCCATTTAATTGTCACCTCGAGTGAAAGACTGAAATATTATTTTTTTATGTCCCTCAATCATGCGACCCTTCGTCTGATGCATCCTTACAATATCTGTTATTTAAAGAAATTAACGTTGCGAAATCATTTTATACCTATTATATCTATGTTGAATTTTGTAGCTATATAAAAAGAAAAAATATTTATTTAATTTTTAACAAAAAAATAATTTACTATTGTTCGATTAAAAAATGCTTATTGCAACATATTTTGTAAATTAATTATGATCTACATATTATTTAATTAGTGATCACATTTAATTAATAAAGTAATTGCCATAAAAAAAAGTGAATGTCAAAGTAAAAAATAAAGTTCAAAGTCTCCGCAAGAAGTGCCTCTAATGTCTGGGTAAATGACATTGAAAGTGTTTGAGTTTAGAACGCGGAATCGCGTGGCCATATCAATGTTAATTAAATATAGATTAATTAAATTAATGAGATCAGCTCAACAGTGGGCAATTAAAGGCTCATACGATGATGATGATGACGAATTTAGATATTATTATACCAGCCGTTAATTGACCACTGCTTAACTTAAGCGGTTCTGCCAGTAGTTGCCACTCTTGGCAAGCGAATTGGCAACCGCAGTTAGGCTTTGATGATGTTTTAAGAGGGACGCCGCTGCCCATTTCTCGACCATTAAGTTCTCTTAGTCGCCTCTAAAGACATCTATGAGAAAGGATGAGGGGGCCTCTTTCATGCTGGGATCAGACGACATAGATTACATATTATACTAGTAAAATAAAAAAAAAAAATGATAAAACAAATTACGAGTACATTTTGCTTCGCAACAAACACACAAGTTTTTTTCTGTAAAAAAAAAAAAAACTGTTTCAACGTCAGATAATAAATATGGAAGTTAACCGTATTGATTGCAAAAGTCGGTATTGAATGGATGGACGTAATCGCAGAAAATATCTATAGTAAATGAAATATATATATATATATATATATATATATATATATATATATATATATATATATATATATACAATTATGGAGCTTAGAACTCAGTGTTACACTTATATATTTTTTATAGGCAAACACAGCATATATTGATACATGTATAACAATAAGTACGGAGAAATATATATATAGCTTACAACTATTATTAAATGCTTAACAACTAACAACTAAAGCCACCATATCCACAAGCAGATCCAGCAGCACGACTCATTTTATATATTTATAGATATTTCGTACAAAAACAATTGGAGTATCAAAAATTGATATCGACCTGGTCACTGCAGCTGTTTATAATTTTACAGAATCTTACTATTGGAGAATTACTACCCAGAACAGTTCTTGATATGAAATGAAAATGAATAGCTCCTCTATCAAAAGTAGCTTAAAAAGAAAAAGAATGTATGTATATGTAATTAAGTATTAATTTTGTTTGTGTACATATTGTTTATATTTATAATCTGTGTCAGTCTTTGAAGGGAACAATAAAGAGTCTTCTTTCTTTAATTCATTCATGGATCACTTTGAATTTATTAAGCATTGCGTAGCGTTTATAAGGAGATAAACATTGGTTACGTTTCTTCATATATTTGACATGTTTATTTATAGTATCGTATGTGCCATAAATATAGTTTAATTATCGCATTAAAATGTTTTGCGATGTATTTTTTTTTATACAACTTAGAATGGCAAACAAGCTGACGGCCCACCTAATGGAAAGTGGTAACCGTCGCCTATAGACATGAGCAGTACTATGGACATAACAGAGTATACTGTTTCGCCCATGATACCCCCCCATGCGTTGCCATTCCTGAGGACTCAGGTGTTATTCCTCTGTACCCAGTAAATTCACGCCATATCCCACCCTTCAAACCGAAACACAGCCATGCAAACACTACTGCTTCACGGTTGAAACACGAATGGGACAGAGGTACCCATGCAGTCGACTTTTGTACAAAGTCTCCTTCTAGTAAATGTATATTACGAACACAATATAGTAGCACTCGGAAGTTGTCATATCTCAATGTAGTAAGCATTAGCAGATAATATAAAAAAGGTAAATGCTCAAAATACTCAAAATAGGCTATTACTCATACCAGAGGGAGACTTTGTACAAAAGTCGTTTGCTTGGACACCTCTGTCCCATTCGTGTTTCTACCGTGAAACAGTCGTATTTGCATGGCTGTTTCGGTTTGAAGGGTGGGAAATGGCAGTGAATTTACTGGGTACATAGGAATTACACCTGAGTCCTCAGGAATGGCAACACGTGGGGGGATTATGGGCGAAACAGTATACTCTGTTATGTCTATATTACTGCTTATGTCTTTAGGCGACAGTTACCACTTTCCATCAGGTGGGGCGTCAAGTTGTTTGCCTTTTTAAGTTGCATAAAAAAATACATCCGAGGTCTTGTGAGGCGGCTTAGAAACTCTAGAAATTGGAGGGCGAATCCTCAATCGAAAGCAGAACAAACTATTATGGCAATTTCTTGCCCCATTTTTCAAGGTCTCATCTCTGAGATCTTCTGATTCTCATTTAAATAACTGATGACGACCAATTAACCTACATTTATCGTCACCTATCAACCATTACTTGTGCCCCGCTTACGTATACTGATAGCGCAGACGGGGTTACCATTCCATTATCATCTATTAAAAAAAACATATATGCGTGTATAAACGTCATATGGTTACGTAGTATAACGATAAGCATAGATTACGCTGTTTTACACGACTGTCCAAAGAAAGAGTATAATGTTTCCAGGATTTATGCGTGTATGTATGTAAGTTACATAATTTCATCATAACTTTTACCTGAACAGATTTGAATGTAAGATGTAAGAATATTTACATTGACATTGTTTTTTTTAAGAGTTCGGTTTTGCCAGAGCAAACGTGTTTTTATTATTTGCGGAGCAAATAAAAATAGAGCGCAAAATGTACTATTTACATGAAGTCTCTCGGATTGGTGGGTTTTTTTTTGACGGGTGAAAATGGTATGGTAGCCCCACCTGCGCTAACGAGATACGCTGGCAGAGCACCAGTGAAGGTTGATAGATGAGAATGAAAACAGGCCAGTTAGCCCATCATGATGAATTCATCAAGAATTAACCATGATAGTTTCCAGGGGGAACCGCGAGGAGGTCGACATGGTTGGGTATGGGTAATACTAACAATCCCTTTTCCCCCTGGATTGGTGGGTTAGGAGCCCATACAAAACTTTGGCAGTTTCTTAGATTTTTGTTTTTGTAATTTTTATTAACAATATTATTTTGTTTCAGGCCTTTAAACTATTCAAAAGAAATAAGAACCGCAAGACTCCGCGCAATCGCATATCGCCCGCGCTCATGCGCTCACCTTCGTACAGCGGGACGGTCGACGCGCGCTCGGAAATCGATCTCCAACGTTTCTGCGCTTGCAGAGCTTCGCTACCGCCGCTGAGAATTGCGAACAACGATTCATACGAGAACACTTCGTATTACAGCAGCTACAATAGTTACAGCTCAAGGAACGAAAGTTTAGAGAACTATAACGAGTCCAATTTCGACGGAGCAAGGTCGGATTCCGCTTACGACTCGGCTAGAAGCAGCCCAGCCCATGTTAGGGCGCCTGTTTGTTATGCTACCGTCACATATTTTAATGTTAACGACAGTGAAGACAGTAGTAGCATCCGTACAGAATTCACTCTCCTTGATTATGAAGTGGAAACGGAAAGAGACAGTGATAAGGGTGACGACGGTGATGATGAGAGAACGCAGAATATCATTAACGAGAACATCGAATTAGTTAGTTCGTTATGAACTGAAGATTAAAGACTTGTGTGTAAATTAAAAATAGGATTGTGTCTGTGAGTGCTGCTAGATGTTGTACTGATTTTGTGAAATTATACGTAACTGGCAAATCCCTCTTTATGTGGGATATTCAACAGTGGACAGCTAACGATTGGTATAATGACGGTAATAACCCGGCATAGAAAAGGCCATCCCTTCCTTTTCCATGAGTGTCGTAAGAGGCGATTAAGGGAGGGCGAGAGATAGGTAGTTGGTCTTAAAACATCTCTAAAGCCTAACTGCGGTCGCCAATCCACAAGGGTGCAACTATTGGCAAAACCCCCAAGGAGGAGACTTATGTTCAGCAGTGGACAGTTAAAGGCTGATATGATGACGATGACGATAATATGTAACTTAATACTAAATATGATAAAAAAAATCTGATTATGGAAGTTAAAGTACAATACAATATCCTAAGACCAACAAATAGTAAATTTTCATTCTAATTTATGCGGATAAAGTTGCTGGTAACAGCATATCAATGACAGCTTTATCGATTCAGTTGATAATCTAGTGTAAAAGAGTCCAGTATCGAAAGTCCATTGATTGTAGTGTGCAAACACCATATCAGATGGTGTAGTTTCACCAGTTATCGTCCAGAAACATGTTATAGATAATATTGATGTTATCTTTTTAATGGCGGTAACAAATTATAATGTAAAAGCTCATAAACAGGATAATACAGATTTGCTAAAAATTTATGCCCAATATTACCAAAATAATAGTATGTTAAAACTTGTTATTAAATAGAATTAATTCTTAGATCAATAACATTGAAATCTGTAGTGTTTCTCTACAAATACTTCAAAGAAATACAGTTTAGTTTTTTTTTTTTCAAAATAGGACACTCTTAAAATTATATAGATCTTGTAACTGGCGTGCGTGGCGAGGCGTGGTATTTACTGATATTTCCTACAGTTATAGTCCTTTGGCCATAATAACCCGAGATAGAACATTAAAATAGTCAGGTTGAAAAAATTATCAAATTTAATCTAGTTTCTTTTTTATTTATAAAGAAAATAAACAGAATATGTAGAATTATAGTACTAAAAATAACAGCATTAAAATATTTTTCCTTGACGGTACAATCAGGAAGTGTTTAAGGTAATGTTTTATTATACACATAGTTATTTATAAATTCGTATGAAATTTTCACGGTCATTTAGATAATTCAGTGTTGAAAAATCGTTATTGACTTGTGATAATGATGAACGACAGTTGATGCATTCTTGCATCCGTTTCTAATTAGAACAGAGGGTCTACCATGACATGTTCTCCGAAATTTCGGGGCCGAACGAAACACAAATTCGATGTTAAAACTACAACTACTTTGGATTTTTATGGTAGGATTTGTGACTAACAAAATATTTATTTATTTACACTTTATTGCACCAAAAAAAAAAAAAATACAGTAAATTATAATGAGAGGTACAAAAGGCGGCTTTATCACCAAGCAATCTCTACTACGATATGTATATACAATATTGAGTTCCACTTACTGGTCCGATTTCGGTATGAACGAAAATGCGAAATTGATTCCGAAAATCCGGAATTTCATTTCATGGTAGACCTTCAGGTATTGGCGATATTTAGCAGCACTTTCAAATGTACAGATTACCAAAGTAAATGTGATATTCTAAGTGTATTTATATTTAGTTGTTTACTTCTGTTGATCTCAAGTGTGTAAATTCTATTAGCGGTAAGGATTTGAACATTCTGTCCGCGTTCCTTTTGTATCGGGTTATCTGAATTACAAGTTGGTACAATTATGCTTCAATGTGGTACAATCAATTTTTGTATGTAATTTAAAAATCTGGTATGTACTCTATGTATTTTGAATTGTTGTCTATGTTGACATTTTAAGTTAAGAATGCCATTTTACAATTTTATAAGAAGTCTAGTTTATTTAGTCTATTATTTAGTTTACATAGTAATTTTATAAATAAGGGGAACTAAAGCTTAGCTCACATACAGCTTATTATTATTTATATTACTGTGAGGGAAACTAACTTTGGGGAATTTTATCCCATTGTCTCTCTTATACTTCTGTTTATTGTACCTAATATTAAATATCGTAAAAAATAAAATATATAAAAAAATCTGTATATTTGCCCATATATACGGGTAAAAGACAGATTTATATATGACACGACGACAGAAGGATAGAAGGAGAATATATATATATATATATATATATATATATATATATATATATATATATATATATACTATCTATGATTTATTTAAGAAAGCACCCAAGTAATTATTTATTTTTAAAAAGAAGTTACTGTGTGGGCCGCATACTTCTTCGATTAAATTATTTCTTTCTTTCTTTCAAGTATGTTTTTGCCAATTAGCGATAAATTTTTGCAATCCAAAGATAGAGTATGGGTACTCTTCCACTACAGTACATGGATAGTAAAAATCTCATATTGATTTTATACTTATTTTATTATAGTTCATGTTAATTATTTTTTGTGTATTTGATTTTAGAATCCCTTTTATAAGTAATGAACTTTCTCTTTTCGTGTTCTCGAGGTTGACTGGAAGAAATTCTTTTAAGGGATAAGTTCACATGTGTACAGTTTGGTATATAATAAATAAACTTTTCGAAATTATTTCGGACTCACAAACCGGATTACTCAGATACTTTGGGAGTTCTGGGTTGTTCTCCAGATGTTCGTTGGTTGGTTAATCGTATAACACAGGGTTATCTTAGCTTAAGGATCATGAAATTGTCATGATTTTGTGGCACATATCGTCATAGTCGTAGAATACTGACGGATCTGTCAAAGATTACATATATAGATACGTCAGTATTCTACGACTATGACGATATTTGTGTTTTGAGATACATATTATCAATATTAATCCAATCTTATTGTATTGTATTTTATATTATTTTGTAAATAATTATATTATATAGCCATTATAAATCGAACATATTTAAGTATATATCTAGTAAATATTTCTAGAATTACGAGCAGAAACGCGGAAAGACCAAACAGGATGCGGAACAAATAATTTTCATTTAATCTACTTTATTTGGCCAGCATTATAATTAGTTTTTCGTACAATTATATTTTTACAATAAGTAATGATAAGTTAGTGTAATAAAAAATATAAAGTTGTCAATTTTATCATGTTGTTTTATTGAATTTTATTTATAATAATTAGACGTGTTTTAGGACAATGATAAACGCATTAGCATACGGTTAGCCTGATGGTAACTGAACACCGCAGTATGGCAGTGCAGCAATGTTTGCAACATTACAGATATCATTCGTGCCTAGGAATCCCACTGCTTTATTGCATATGCTATGCACTATCTCACCCATATAGACTTACCTGCGTTCATGCTCACCCATCACGCTGGAACTGTAAAGATAGCGAAGAAATTGCATTCAATTTTTATCTATTATAAACATAGGTGTATATAAGAAGGGGGGGGGGGAGGAATAACCAGATGGGCTGTACCTACTGTAGTATTGTTCGGTGTCCACCCTAGGACATTTCCTTTTTTATAACATAGGAGGCAAATGGGCATGCGTCTTACCCGATGGTAAATAATTACCGCGTACTATAAGTACCTGCGATATCAGAAAAATTTCATCCAGATGGTTGGGATGTCTGTACATAGACAAAAAAAAAAAAACGCTAAAACCCGAATTCGAAGGATGTTAGAGGTAAAATAGAACACATCCTGATATTTTTCAAGTTTCTTGTTTCTCTGTTTGTCTGTTTATTCGAGCTAATCTCCGAAATTGTTGGACCGATTTAAATTATATTGGGAAACAGTTTATACTTTTAATCACAGAAAATTAAAGAGTTTCTGTGGGATAGTTAAAAAACTATAGTAATTTATACAGCTTAGTACCTAATCTTTTTAAGTAAAGTCATTTCAACTTAAGGCAAAGAGTCAGAACGACACGTCATTTGTTAATTTTGGTCCAGTATTCCCAGACATAACAAATAGATAGGTATATACATCGATACACACATAAACAGGAATAACAAATATCATGCGGACAAAGTCGTGGGCAACACCCAGTATATCATAAAAGACTCAAAGAGTTGAAACATCTCTAAACAATGCCAGTGAATCGAGTTGATTGACAAGTCGTTGGCGATTGACAATCCTACTGCAGCGATATTTTGTCAGTACATATTGTGCCTTTTTAAAGGTCCCGGAGCCTCGCAGGAAAATAATCTTAAATACTCCAATGGGAATTAATAAAAACTGGAATGTTTATATTTTTATTTGAGAACATTAGATATTATATATTTATCAAAAAAAATTTTGATATTGTTAATTTTGTAAAAATATAATTGCTATTTTGAGAAATATATTAGAGATGATTGTGCCACATATTAAATTAATTAAATAAAACCCCCCTTTATTATTATTATTGATTTACGATGAAGGTGTACGAGGGAGGGATGACAGGTGTGCTTGTAGTCAGTAATTATTATTTTGTTATATTTTACTGCACTAATTAAAAATAAGAAATATAAGAGTAGTAAATTTTAATGGGAAGTGATATATATTATTATATATATATATATATATATATATATATATATATATATATATATATATATATAGGACTTAACAGAGGTTTTGAAGCTAGTGAGAGTTTGAGCGCATCGAATAAAAGTAGGTAGTGAGTTCCACAGGCGAACTGCCTGGACAGTAAAGGAATTAGAATAAAAGGAAGAAGAATGAGCGGGAAATTTGAGTCGGAGGTTGTTGACATTGCGCAAAGTATGGTCATTAACCTAAGTTGGTCATTAGCACTAGACTAAGAGGACTAGACTAGTACTTCGCCCTTTAAGATAATTAGGAGCAACAGGGTTACAAAGGACTAAAGTAACTGTGTAAAGAAGAGATAGGAATATTTGAATTATTGAAATTGTAAGCTATGAGTATATCATCTATGAGTTCTTTTGTATATATATATATATATATATATATATATATATATATATATATATATATATATTCTTATTGAGCATCTATTTCTTATATATTAATCTTTTGTGCGCAATAAATAAATTGTTTTATATATATATATATATATAAGGATAGAAGGAGAAGAAGTTCGAATATCAATGGAAATCATTTAAAAACCATGCTTTAAAAAAATATATAATTGTAGATATAATTTTCAGAGATCCAAACCATACTTACAAGAAATACGCTAGCCCCATCACGTTGATAAAACAGATTTAGTGATACACTAATAATTCTAGAAGAAAGTATCCACGCTCGAATGGCGAAATCTCTCTTGGGAAATTCACTCGGTACCTAATCAGAAATTTACTGAATTTTATATTTATAAAACAATTGCGAACGAAACTTAACTTGATAATAAATAAACGAGATGAACTTGCCAGTTGAATGACCGGAGTGAAATAATGAAAGAATTACTATTTATTTATTTATTTATATATATATACATATTTTTGGTGAGCTTTACAGATTTACCAATGCACTCACCGAAAACTAAAGAACCAAATATAATGGAAAATAATAATAATAATAAAAACGTAATAAAACATTATAATGATACAATAATGGAAAAAAAATTATAATAAAAAAATCTAATCTAATATATAAAATTCTCGTGTCGCGGTGTTTGTTACCAAACTCCTCCGAAACGGGTTTACCGATTTTCATGAAATTTTGTGTGCATATCCGGTAGGTCTGAGAATCGGCCAACATCTATTTTTTTATACCCCTCAATGATAAGGGTGACCCACCCCTAAAAAAAATATTTTCTAGAAATAATGTATATGGCAAAACAACGTTTGCGGGGTCAGCTAGTTATGCTATAAAAAATAAATATTAAAATTTCTTTTCTGCGTAATTTGTTACCGCTCTGTGAAACTCTGTGGCAGTACAGTGAAAAAATTGAGCAGACGTAGCGCCCTCGTGAGTGGAGCCTGACCAGAATCTTATTATATCTTAATAAACTTTTAAAAAAATTTGATTATATTAATTAATTATATTATGACATTTATATGCACGTAATCTGTAGTCAATGTTGTCTACGCCTGCTATAGCAAAATTATTTTTTGAATTTTTGTATAATATACTATACTGATGGTGTGCCTTATTCGAAATAAATAGATAGATAGATACTTTTTATTGTTTCCTTCAAAATATTACAATAGTAAACTTATTATAAATACAAACAATTACAAGAAATAATCACAATGAGAGAACAATGGGCGACGTTATCGCTAAAAGCGATCTCTTCCAGGTAACCTTTGGATGGAGAGGAGTTTATAAACAATTTATTTATGTATATATTATATATATACATTATATGTGTATTTATTATGTATTATTATGTATAATTATATCAGTATGTTGCTATAATTATGTTACATATTTTTCACCGCATCTGCTCTTCATACGCTTTCTGTTCTTACCTAATGGTTAGCTGGTAGAGAATGCCATATGACATTAAGCTCGTCACTTGTACAAAGTTTTATTGTGCAATAAAGAAATAAATAAATAAATAATAACAATAATATTCATAACCAGATTATTATTGGGTTGAACAGTAACTCACGAATGCGGCGTTTAGATTATTGAAATAGGTACGGTATATTTGTATAGAACAAGTCTAGATATTCCTTTACAATATCTCGTCGAACCAGTATCTACCAGTTTGCAATTATTATATTTTTGTTCACATTTTTTCGGGATAATGGCCTACGGACAAAGGGATAGCCCTTTGTGTTCCTTATAATGACGTCGCGACACCAAACAGGTTCTCTTTGATAGGTTTTTGTATGTATATATAAGAGTTCCTGTCGAATTATTTGTGGATATTTTTATTTAGAGGTCGTGATCTTACGCTGCTGGAGGTTTGACGTCATAAAGTGTACTTAGATATCTTAGACATTTTAAGTGAACTCAAAAGGTGAGGTACTCAAGCGAATATTCTTTGTATATATGTTAAGTGATATTTTCGCCAAATACCTACTTAAAAAGTATGTATATTATATATTATAGTTTTGAAGAAGCAATTTAATTTATTCGAAAGTTCGTTTGATTACGTATTATCGTCACCCACTGCTGAATATTGGCCTCTCTTTATAGACTGACCTTAGGATTTTTGATTATTATTTATATTAAATTTTAATTAACGACTTAGGCTGGAAAGAATCTAGACCGGTGTTTCCTAACGTGGAGCCTCACAGGGAGGCAATTTGATAATGAAGGGCGGGGGGCAATTAAAAAATGGACTAGAAGCGATTGCTCGTGCCAACATTAACAAAAAATAAAGTAAATAAAAAAAAAGCTGTAAATATTTAATAGGTATAATTTGGTTGGACGTTACCAAAATATCAACTGGGCGATTAGAGTCGTCAAGTAAACTTTGTCAGGAAAAATTATGTATGTGGGGACATAAAAATTTTGGATATATATTTGCGGCGTTTGGAGTTGAAACTCTGGGTCCATGGGGCCCCGAAGCCATTAATCTTTTTAAAAAGATTTCACGCCGGCTGGTGGAAAATTCTGGCGACCAGAAGGCTGGCCTATACTTTGGTCAACGCATTTCCATTGCTATTCAGCGTGGAAATGCAGCAAGTATCCTAGGCACCCTACCAGCTGCCAGTGATCTTAAGGAAATTTTTTATCTTTAACTATTTAAATTTATTCCACTAGAAACATTTATTTAGATAGGTATCATAGATAAATATATAAATAATTTTTTTTATAAATGTTCAGGTTGGTTCAAAAAGGTTGGGAAATACTGCTCATGTTTTGTTAAAAAAAAATAGGCAGGCATTACTGAAGGAGAAGAAGAATCTTTAACAGAATTAAAAAAAGAGGTTATAAAAAACTGTATATACTTTTCTATTTATTTATGTATATAAAATTATAATTAATTATCTCTTCCTATAAATTATATTTATTACATTGAATTTACTTATTATATTACAAGTACTTAGTAAGTAACCCTGCGGAATGAGGCCCTGGTGAGCTGTAATACAGGTACTCTTATACCCATCTCGAGCACCAGTCTCACACAATTAAATTTATAATTTGATTACCTTAATATAAGTATGTCTTTTTTTTATACAACTTAGAATGGCAAACAAGCTGACGGCCCACCTGATGGAAAGTGGTAACCGTCGCCTATAGACATGAGCAGTACCATGGACATAACCAAGTATACTGTTTCGCCCATGATACTCCCCATCAGGAATGGCAACCATTCCTGAGGACTCAGGTGTTATTCCTCTGTACCCAGTAAATTCACGCCATATCCCACCCTTCAAACCGAAACACAGCTATGCAAACACAACTGCTTCACGGTAGAAACACGAATGGGACAGAGGTACCCAAGCAATCGACTTTTGTACAAAGTCTCCCTCTGGTATTTGTATTTCACTCTCTCTTTCTCCCTCCCTCTCATTGTATTTCACTGTGATGGAATTGGGAAGAGAAAATAAATCTATTTATTATTATTATTCGCTAGTTATAAATGGATTTTGTTGATTCTTTTTTTTAATTTGTTACTCTAATGTTGCTATCATCATCATTTCAGCCATTATCCGTCCACTGCTGGACATAGGTCTCCCCCATAGACTGCCATCAAGAACGGTATTGAGCGACCTGCATCCACTGACTCCCTGCAATGCACTTGAGGTCGTCATTCCATCTAGTGGAGGGGTCGGCCTAAACTACGTTTGCTCGTACGGAGTTGCCGCTCAAGAACCTTTCTTCTGTTTAATTTGTTTTGTATGTTTGGCGTGAATTTACTGGGTACAGAGGAATAATACCTGAGTCCTCAGGAATGGCAACGCATGGGGGGTATCATGGGCGAAATAGTATACTCTGTTATGTTCATGGTACTGCTCATGTCTATAGGCGACGGTCACCACTTTCCATTAGGTGGGTCAGCTTGGTTGCCATTCTATGTTGTATAAAAAAAAATGTTTTGTTAAGACGAAAGTTTAATTTTACAATAAAATATGTTAATATTATATAAAACTGTTTCTGACGTATACAAGTAACGTTGCATAGTGTTACGTCACAGCAGGCAGGTATGTCGCGCGGACGGTCGCCGGGTCGGTCAGGCGGACGTCACTACTTGTGACCGCGCGCTGTCGCACGTGACTTTAATAGGGTTGCCAGTTGTACAGTTTTTTTTTTAATGAAAATCGAATGATAAGTAATGATTAAAGTTTCAAGTAGGTACTGCGTGGAGGTTGACCTGATAGGGTATACTGCTTGATCGAGAACTAAACTTCCTATTACTAATAATCCCTTCCCATTCTATTCATCTTACCTACGCTGCCTGTTCCTCGATTATTTACTTCTACTACTATTACTACTACATTTAAAGGAAAAGAAAGGAAGGGGTGGTACATTCTAAGCTCGGAACATACGGCGCATGTTTTTTTTTTTTATACAACTTAGAATGGCAAACAAGCTGACGGCCTACCTGATGTAAAGTGGTAACCGTCGCCTATAGACATGAGCAGTACCATGGACATAACAGAGTATACTGTTTCACCCATGATACCCCCATGCGTTGCCATTCCTGAGGACTCAGGTGTTATTCCTCTGTACCCAGTAAATTCACGCCATATCCCACCCTTCAAACCGACACATAGTTGAAAACTACATCGTTTGTCAAGCGTAGCAACTTACTACTTCGTACTGGCGAAACCTCACCAGGGGGGAAGTCTATGTCCAGCAGTAGACGATTGACGCTGATATGTATGTACATATTTATTATTATTATTATTTATATAATTATGGCTTGTCAAATATGGCATAATCCTTCCTGCATTGTCGATACCCTCTCAATATTCAATGCTCGACTCAGTAGTATTAGCTAAATCTGAAAACGGGTATTTCAAGTTTTCCAGCGGCCGCAGACAAACAGACGTACTGATTTGTTAATTTGAGGATTATATTTGTTATGATAAAACATAATGTCGGTAAGTGGCCATTGAATGTGTTCGCGGTGCGCAGGCGCACGTGTCAGTGACAAAACGCTATTTGAGAGCACAATTCCGGTATTTGTGCTCGCAAATGATTGTATTTGTTCAAACTTGTCGTATCTCTCTCTGCCTTGAGCTAAAAAAAATGTTTGCATATACTTTGCGAAATGCTAGTTTTAGTTTTTTTTTTTTTTTGTAATAGTAATTTCTTGCGATTGTTGCGATGCGGAAAACAGACATACAGATTTCTGGTATTTAATCAAATGTTTGATAAATGAAAGAATGATAAAATTTAAATAGGATGCTAAAAATAAAGCTGTACTGTTTTTTCCCTTGTGCATACTATAGTTTTCTTTCAGCTTCTCAAAGGTTGACCGTAAGAGATCCCTTTATGGGATAAGTCCGCCATTGTATATTAAATCTTTTAATGTATTCAGTATAAATTATGTATAATAAAGATTTTACGATACAATTTAAATATGAAATTACTACTTGCGTAATTCATGTAAAAAATTTAATTGAATATACTTTACATTAATATCTGTTATAAAGTAGCTAGATTTATATTTAGATTATATATTTTAAGAAGAAATATATATCTCTATGTAACTATAAGATTTTAAAATAAACTAGCTAGTTAATACACAGCTGTGTCCGTGGCAATGTTTGTGTGACCGAGATAAAAAGTAGCCATCTTGAATATTACGTGCATGCTAAATTTCATAAGTATTAGTTGAGTTGTTAAGGCGCACCGAAGTTATAAATAAACAAATAAACACACTTTTATTTTTACACTGTTTACTAGTAGTTCAGTTAATCTGGACCTTAACACTGGTCGGTTCAAGAATTATGTGATTGATTGTAGTTTTTTTTTTTCTTTTTATCAATATGAAGTTTGTGAGTATCATAATTTTTTTGTTGTAATCTCGACTTTTATTTAAAAAAAAGAATCAGCTGTGTTTTTTGCCTGTTCTTCTCAGTCGAAACTGCAATACAAACTGGGCGGTAGCTTAAAAAAAAGTGAGTATTTAATTAATTTATTTATTATAAACAATTTTGAGTCCTTTTCTTATTAGTATATGTATTTAAAAACTATGTTAAAATTTAATTACTAATAAATTACATATTTGTATATATGCTTAATTAAGTTTACTTCAATAAATGTTATTTTTATTTTAAAACAAAGCGTTATATTGCCATTTGGATAAGTCTCCCTCTGGTAATACATATAATATATAAAAAAATTTAAATAGGTAATGGCGTTCCTAACTCGACCAAGCATGTATAAATAATTTATTTTATTTAAAATTATCGTAATACGAAACGACTATTCATAAAGATGATAGGAAAAAAGGTAATACATAAGTTATTGTGCGAGCGTTTTGCATATGAATATGTAATGTAATATTTTAGCTATCTTAACTAGGAACCGTAACGCTGCGACAATATACTGTGACGCCAATGCTAATTTAAACCAAACTAATCCACAATAAGAGTTAATTATGTGTTACGATTCCATTTAATGTATACCTTATATGTATACCTAATCATACCAATTTCAATTTGAATAAACCCAAATTATTTCTATCAATTTTTTTTTTAAGTAAATACAATTTTTTAAAAGAATAACCAGAACTATCGTGGCATGGTCCTGGCATAGAATGGACCACTCCTTCCTTTCCCGTGAGTGTGATAAGAGGCGACTAAAAAAACATAATGGTCGAAGGATGAGGAGCAGCGTTGCTTTTAAAACAACACTAAAGCGTTCCTGCGGTTATCAACCCGCCAGCTAAGCATGGCAGCTACTGGCAAACGCTCCAGGAAGGAAGCCTTTCTTTTTAAAGGTGATATAGAATGGTAACCTCATCCACGCTATCGGTATACACCGGCGGGGCACCAGTGAAGGATGATAGGTGAGGATGAAGCAGGTCAGTTAGCCCATCGTGACGAATTCAACAAGAATTGTTCACGATGGTTTCCAGGGGTAACCACGTGGAGGTCGACCTAATAAGGCATATTGCTAGCAATGGGGCTATCAAACTCCATTGCTAACAATCCCTTTCCCCCCTGGAGGAGGCTTATGTTCAACTGTGAACAGACGGCTGATATGAAGATGTATTTTTTTTATATTACTTAGAATGGCAAACAAGCTGACGGCCCACCTGATGGAAAGTGGTAACCGTCGCCTATAAACATGAGCAGTACCGTGAACATAACAGAGTATACTGTTTCGCCCATGATACCCGCCATGCGTTGCCATTCCCGAGGACTCAGGTGTTATTCCTCTGGACCCTGTAAATTTTCTGTTTTCTATTTTAATAAACCAAAACGTGCGCCGGGGACTGTCCCTTATCTGCGCAAGCGCAAATGCGTAGACTTATTATTTTACATTACACAACAAAGTAATTGGTCACGTCCACAATAGACGAGATGAAATTCAAACGAGTCATTAACAATGATATTATCTTATGTAATCTCTGTGACTTCTTGTTTGATTGTATGCACATATGTTGACTAATTAATGAGTTCACAAGACAGCCAGCAAGGCTTTGTTCACACTGTTACGGGTACGATTTTTTTTTAATTCTACCCATCAAAAGTTTTAGATTCTTTTTTTATTGACAGGATTTTTTTTAATGTAATAATTACCGGTTGAACTTACGTATAATAAAAGATCGAAAACTCGACTAGTTTCGGAATCAGTTCGTGATCCTTAGTCATGAGCGACTGTGACGCGAGGAGTTTTATTAATTTGCTCACCAATATTATATTTATTGCTCACTAATATTATAAAAGGGGAAAGTAAGTCTGTTTGATTGTTATCTCTTAGCGCCATATTTGCTTAACCAATAGCTATTAAAATTTGCTACACGATAGAGAATAAATTAGGCTACTTCATGTCCCATTCACGCGGATGCTATTTTATACGATTAATCTTGTAGAATCAGAGATTTTTATATTTTTTTTACAAACACGAGATGTCGCCACTAGCCAGCCAAGCGTACCAAGCTAAGCCCCCTTCTAGCCACAGCCACCACCGCACGTCAAACCGTCAGCCAGGAGGGACGCGAAAGCCAAGCTAAGCCGTACGGGCGAAATGCCAATTTTATTGTCAGCCTATATTGTGATGAACCTATGTCTAATAAAAAAGGCTACCACCGTATTTGTTGTGTTTCACACGCCAATCCCCTGATTCTCAAGTTAGGACTTACCTTGTGTTGTGAGGAACTGGGAAACTGGGAGTATAATCCAGAACATCCAGACATCGAGACGCGAATTCAAATAAGTTTGTTTCCTAAATTGGCACGACTGAGATCGAACCAAAAACAGTACTACTACGGTAACCGTTTACCATCAGGTGGGCCATAAAGTGTGTTCGCCACTTCAGTGCTATAAAAATAATGAATAATATTTGTGTTTTTGTCTTTTATATATAGAGGTTAAGACTTTTTGTCTGACGATAAAAAAAACATATACGCTTATTCTCTCTTCTTATGCCTATCACTGTGCCACGGAAGGTATTGATTTATATAAAAAAAAAAGTACATGGGCCATAATACCAATGGCTAAAATCACTACTAATTTTTATCCAATTAAGTATCTTAAATACATTGACCATTTAATATAGATCAATATAGCCCTTTACAGCATGTAATTTAAATGAATATTTCCGAAGATATTATAGATTTAATATGCAGATACATAGCGGTACGGCGGTACCGGCACGGCCGGCGGCGCGTGCTTTTAAATAGCGCATCGAATAGCACTTTATCATGTTTGTATTGTCTAATGACAAAAAAAGCTTTAAACGTTGTTTATAAGGACATTCTGTAGTATGTAGGTATATTTAGTATCAGGATTGCACCCGTGCGAAGCCAAGGCGGCTCGCTACTAATTTATATTTTCTAGTATCTATTTTATTTCATATTTGACATCTTTAGTTATCTTACTTTTTTATCAAATTTAGTCATTTAATAGAAAAGCAGATATAAAGATGTTATCTACTTTCTTCATATATTTATAATTATATAGTTATATACATTAAAAAAAAAAACAATACTATTTATTATTGCAAAGATCAAAATAACCGAAAATCAAAATAATATTATACTAAAGACAGTTCCAAAGTATGTGTTACTTTGAAGAACCAATACTATTTGGGCTCTTGTTACTTGGTGAATTGACTTTAGGGTCGTTGCCCTATTGACAGTATGTTCACACCCCAAGGGTGGTGTTTTTATCTGACCTGTTGATATGCAATAGACAGGCGCGTGGCTAATATCACGTAACAAACCGCTCGCTGGCTAAGGAAAAGACATCTTTAACACCACATTCCTATGGAGGGAAAGGGATTGTTAGTTATGGGGTCAAATAGCCCCATTACTAGCAATATACACTGTCAAGTCGACCTCCACGTGGTTCCCCCTGGAAAACATCGTGGCTAATTCTAGTTGAATTTGTCAGGATGGGCTAACTGACTTGTTTCATCCTCATCTATCATCCTTCACTGGTGCCCCGCCAGTGTATACCGATAGCGCGGGTGGGGTTACCATTTCATTATCACCAATAAAAAAACCACATTCCTATGAGGGGTTTTTTAAAGGTTGATAATGGAATAGCAACTCCGCTTGCGCTATCGGTATATACCAACGGGGCACCGTGAGGCATTATAAGTTAAAATGAAAGAACAGGTCAGTTAGCCAATCGTGATGAATGCACCTGGAATTCAGCACGATGGTTTCCAGGGGGACCACGTGGAGGTCGACCTGACGGGATATATTGATAGCAATGGGACTGGTAGTCCGCATTACTAACAATCCCTCCCTCCCTTTGCTGTGAGGGTTTTTTTAATTGTTGATAATGGAACAGTAACCCTGTCTACGCTATCGGTATACGCTGGCGGGGCACCATTGATAGATGATAGGTGAGGATGAAGGCAGGTCAGTTGACCTATCATGAAGAATTCCACAAGAATTAACCAAGATGGTTTTCAGAGGGAACCGCGTGGAAGTTGACGCGATATATATATATTGCTAGCAATGGGGCTGTTAGAACCCATTATTAATCCCTTTCCCCCATTGCTATGATGTTTATGGCAGTAGTGGGCAAGTTGCTTTGTGAAAATGAGGTCCCGAGTTCGATTCTTGGTCGGACTGATTTAGGAATCGAAATTTTCTGAGTCGGTTTGGGTCTGAGTGTTTGAAGTGGTGTCTATAGATGTTAATTGCCTGGTTTCTTTGTAACACAGAGACTCCTAGATTGAGAACTAGTCAATTGGTGTGACGCAGAATTTTACAAAAGTTTTTTGGGTTTTCAGTTGCACTTTAGGGTTTGTTTAGATTTTTGTTCCATTTAAATCACTTCTGTATTATAACGAATGAAACAAAATAGGAATATTTAACTCGGTCAAGCCGTTTTTGAGTTTTAACAAGACTAGAAATGAAATGAAATGAATTTATTTTGCTAGAATGTAAGTAGTTTTCGATGAAAGAGGTTTACATTTACATATATATTCTGCCTCTATGTCGGCGTGCAAATTATTAACAATATGAAAAATTTACGTAATTTTACATTACATTTCCCCTTCTTAGTCATACTATTTATTTATTTATTAGATAGACAAAGATATAGCTATATATATATATATATATATATATATATATATATATATATATATATATATATATATATATATATATACGTAAACGATATTTCACCTCTCCATTATGTCAGAGCACTTAATTCAGACACTGGGTACTTTGTACGTAATATTTTTATCCTATTAAAATTTTAATTAACTGCGGCTGTAAAAACAATCCACCCTCCTTTTCTCGGGCATAAAGAATTTAAAAAATGGTTTTAACAAAAAAATATGTGCAAAGAATGAAACGGTCGAGGTACTGTTTTCAATTGTCTTTAAAAAGAAGTAAGTTCTCAATTCGGGTGTATTTTTTATGATTTTATTATTATTATTAGGTATATCAGCTGTTACTTGCCCATCGTTGAACATAGGCCTCCCCTTATTATTTTGCGAGTAGTTGCCACACTTGGCCAAAATACAAAGTTGTATAAAAAAATGCAAGTCATTTTTTTATACAACTTAGAATCGCAAACAAGCTGATGGTCCACCTGATGGAAAGTGGTAACCGTCGCCTATAGACATGAATAGTACCATGGACATAACAGAATATACTGTTTCGCCCATGATACCCCCCATGCGTTGCCATTCCTAAGGACTCAGGTGTTATTCCTCTGTACCCTGTAAATTCACGCCATATCCCACCCTTAAAACTGAAACACAGCCATGCAAACACAACTGCTTCACGGTTGAAACACGAATGGGACAGAGGTATTCAAGCAATCGACTTTTGGACAGTCTCCGGAAAAAATAGGTTTATTGGTGAAAATAGGCTTTCCCATAAGTGGATACTTCTTAATACCGCTTATATAAATTTAAGTAGTTCAAATACAAACCTGTATATTTCGGAAGGAATTCAAAACAAGCAGTAATAACATTAGTTCCCCGTTGAGAACAACCATCAAACACCCACTTCCCTACAATTTTAAACGAATACCGACACACGGCTCACACACGAATGTATAAAAACAATGTTTTTGCACCCTGCGTCTCTTCCTACGGAAGTAGAGCGCGAGCGAGAGGGAAACATCCGTGTGTAACGTGAGAGAGGGAGGACAATCGTGGGAAACACAGGGGTGGCGATATCCCATACGATTATTGAAGTGGCACGGCCATGCAGTACGGAATTTATTCAGTTGACTCCCCTGTGTTTTGTAGCGGTGTTTGCGCCCTCAGCACGGACAGCTGGCCAGGGTTGTCGCTCGGTTTAATTACTCTGACCTTAGTTGACCACCTGTGGATAGGTATTTAATTTATTCGACAGCAAATGGCGAGCACGTTGAGGGACAGTGACACCGTTTTTATAATTAACAGGTGTGGAAGGTTAGTTTTGTAAAAAAAAAAAATTTCCTCTAGAAAAATAGTTTAATTTTCCTTTTTGTATTCAATCGCAGACTTTTTTGTGTATTTACAATACTGTACAGTTAATTGATATTGTATGAATGAATGAATGAGTATACTTTATTTGCATTATACAATATAGGAAATAAACAAGACAATTTACAAACACAACGATACAATTGTATAAGTACAGTAAGGCGGTGTTATTGCTGAGAGCAATCTTTTCAAGACAACCTTAAGGTAATGGACTAATTGTTGTACAAGTAGGTATAATAGTGCTTTATAATTAAAAAAAGCATCTTTGCATATCATATCAAAGCATTGTATTGTCGATTAAGCTATTTTGAACACACAAGTAAAGTTAATTGAGTATCTATATAAAGTAAACAACATATCGTAGGGATAAAGTACGTTAAAATTTTTAGTATATTATAATAAATTTGCTACTGTAATCTTTTAGAGGAAACTGTAAAGAGTATCTATCTATGTCTTTTATATAAAAAAGTTTGATGTTAAAAAAATATTACTTATTTTCTTCCAATTACGTATTTTAATTGATCCCCTATGTATGATAATTATTAATCACTTTATCTTTTTTCACAACCATTTCTCAATAACAAATGAGCACATATTTTAATATTTTCTTTTTTATAAATATCTATTTCTATAAATAACTTTGTACACGATATATCAAAGACTTCGCCTACCATTAAAGCTTACAATTTGGCTTTAACACTGTCGACTTTAAATAGACTTAACAAATATACTATGTTACTATCACACAACTTAAATAGTTATATATATATATATATAAAATTATAATATAATACAACAGCACAGTGCAAAACTATGTATAATTTAGACATTTATTTTAAACTCTGAGATCGGTTACAACTTTGACTGATTCCATTTAAAATTAATTATAAAAATACATATAAGTATAAATCACCTCTCACAGATGGAAGAGTTAAGTCATCCATATAAATTACATGCTTTCTTACTATATTGGGTTGGCTGGAAGAGATCTCTTGCAAAAATAAACCCACATTTGCTTACAATATTTATAAATGTATTATTTGTGTAATTTATAAGTGCAATAAAGTATATATATAATCATAGTATACCTTATATTGGGATATGGGGGACTACCAGTCTCATTGCTAGCAATATGCTCTGTCAGGTCGACCTCCACGTGGTCACCCCTGGAGACAATTGTGCTGAATTTCAAGCGTATTCATCGTGCTGGGCCAACTGACTTGCCTTTTCATTCTCAACTATCATCCCTCACTGGTTCCTCGCCTGTGTACCTATACCGTCAACGCAGGTGGGGTTACCATTCCATTATTATAAAAAAATTTTATACAACTTAGAATGGCAAACAAGCTGACGGCCCACCTGATAGAAAGTGGTAACCGTCGCCTATAGACATGAGCAGTACCACGGACATAATAGAGTATACGGTTTCGCCCATGATACCCCCCATGCGTTGCCATTCCTGAGGACTCAGATGTTATTCCTCTGTACCCAGTAAATTCACTCTATATCCCACCCTTCAAACCGAAACACAGCCATGCAAACACAACTGCTTCACGGTAGAAACAAGAATGGGACAGAGGTACCCAAGCAATCGACTTTTGTACAGTCTCCCTCTGGTAGATTCTGGTAGATATCATTAAAAGGATATTGAGATATGATATATAATCGTGTCCTCGTAATATGCAGAATGTTGATAGGTATATATAGGAAACGAACTCGGCTTGTTTGTAATTTAAAAACGATGATATTAAGATTTCTAAATATATGGCTTACATTATAAAAATGCTATTACCGTGAGATGCGAGACATTTTTAATATAGGCGGATGATCCGATGCTTTTTACTTGGAACGTTTGAAGGCTGAATGAAATAAAAATTTATTAAAATTCGTTTTCCAACACAAAAGTATCGTAAATTGCGTTTATTATGTTTCGTTACATGAAATATTACAACGAGAATAAATTTGGAATTTTGGGACGTTGGGCAATTTATATATTAAATCGCAGAGGTCGTGAGTTCATGTTCTAGTCGACAAATTTGTGAGTTATTAAATATTTCGATCAATTCTGTGATTTATTTATTTATTGGAAAACCAATAGCTTACAATTTATAGCTAAAAAAAAAAACAATAACAACTTATCCATATAAAAAGCCAATAACAGGTTTTCACTGACTTAGCGATATAAATTTATCGTGGCTAGAGTAATTATAATGTATAAATATTAATAATTATATTATATAAATATGTATAATGTAGTACAATAGTTAAATATATCAAATGTGTTTGAGAGACGACGGTAGGCTGCACCTGGCATGCTATGTACGAAGTCATTCAAAAATTCTAAAAGTTCTCTCGTAATACTACCATAATTTTTCCACAACCAATAATTTTAATTCTGTGTGCACTGTTCTAATAACTTTAATAATTGTATATTTTAAGTATTGTCTTATGTTATCGCCTGTATGTTTTTTTTTATTGTTCTGTTGGTGTCAGTTTTGTTAATATGTAATCGATGACTTAAGAAAATGTTGTGTACATTTGTAATTGGTGCAAATGCAAGATGCAAGCCCTGTATATCAATTAAAATTAATGTCTGTATTTACACTGTTGACGTACCTTTTAAAAATAAATAAATAAATAAATAATGCTATGTGAAATGCGGGCAACTTGCATGTTACGTTTTCTGAAATTTTCGGTAACCCCGCCTGTGCTAACGGTATACGCTAGCGGGGCACCAGTGAGGGATGATAGGTGAGAATGAAAAGGCAAGTCAGTTAGCCCACCGTGATAAATACACCTGGAATTCAGCACGACAGTTTCCAGAAGGGACTTTGTGGAGGTCGACCTGACAAAGTATATTGATAGCAAAGTGTCTGGTAGTCTGCATTACTAACAATCTCTTCCTCCCTACATCGTTTAGGTTAAATTTTGTCTTTTAAATGGAATCATAAATTAAATTTGATATAACAGTTCTAATAGGCTAACTCAGCGCCCCAAGGTCTGTAGGGTTTCGAACTGTTTTGGGAGTACTGATGATGCGTCGGATGGTGAGGGTACGGCGCGGGGTAGTGAGGGGCCGGCGGGGCGGGGTGCGGCCCGGGGGGCGCGGGAGGGGCTGGAGGCGCTGGGGGGTAGTGTGGGTAAGTTGGAGGTGCTGATAAAGGTGCCGCTATCGCTGTGGGTGCCGTCACTGTCGCTGTGGCGGTACTCGTCGCAGTTTCCTGCCTGTGACCCAACTCCGTGTATCCATGTTGGGGCTGCGGGGGTACAGGCGTCGAGGGATACTGTGGGTATCCCCAGTTGGCTGACTTCGCTGCTAGTTCCCGCTGAGCAGCGAAGCATTGAAGGTGGCTCATTAACCTAAGGCGTAAAGGATCTTGGATGTCCAGGCCTTCGCAGCTGACTAGATACCTCGCGACCTCAGCGGCGCACTCCCTGAACCCGATGCTGTGGTAGTCCATGGCGTATCTCTGGGGGTCGTACGCGAATGTATCCAGACCTGAAACAAGATTATAAATAATAAAACTAACTCCTTAAGGGATTTTGCCAGTAGCTACCACATTTAGCAGGTGGGCACGTTGGTAACCACATTTTGGGTTTTACTGAGGTTTTACACTACGCTACTGTCCATATCTCGTCCTCCCTTAGTCGCCTCTTACGACACCCATGGAAAGGAATGGATGGTCCATTCTATGCTGGGACCACACAGTGATATATAAAATACACACGTATGACATCATTTCTGCAGGATAATTATGATTTTACTATATATTAGCTAATCCGGCTTCGTAGGGGGTAAAGGGATTGTTAGTAATGGAGACTGAGAATCCCATTGCTAGCAATATACCCAACCAGGTCGACCTCCTCGCGGTTCCCCCTGGAAACTATCATGGTTAATTCCTGATGATTTCATCATGATGGGCTGACTGGCCTGTTTTCATTCTCATCAATCACCCTTCACTGGTGCTCCGCCAGCGTATCCCGTTAGCGCAGGCGGGGTTACCATTCCATTTTCACCCATAAAAAAAAATCCGGCTTCGTACGGGCAGATGGATATTAAAATAAATTGTATATTAGTTGTAATTAGGTTAGGTTTTCATTTAAGAGGTTTGTTTGAATCGTAGCATTTGGCGTTCCATTGTTTCTGCCTACTCTAATGGGAGACGGGCGTGACAGATATGTATGTATGTATGTAGTTTTAATTAGCAATTTTTTTCTAATAGTATATAGCCCGTTACTCGCTGATAATGTAGCTTTCTAAATAGGCGAAAGAATTTTTTAAATAGATTAAATGGTTTTTTAGTTTATCCATTACGTACGAACGGGCAATAAAATTTTTCCTCTTTAAAAAAATTAATTTAGATATAGATGAATATATAAATATATAATTAGAGGCTTATATAATTTGAGAATATATACAATTAGAATCACGGATTCGCGGACAATGAAATGTAATGAAATGCAAGAAAACAAGATGTCCCGACGCCCCTCGTGCGTCTACCCTTACGCAACAAGTTGTACGAGTCCACAGTGAATGGCGATCAATTGAGGCGGGAAAGAGATGGAACAATCGTAACGGGATCCCCAAGTGTCCGGATTTCTTCCTATAGGGACGAGTGGAAGCCAGAGAAGATAGACCTCTTGTTCCCTTCGCGGGTTTTATAAGAGAATTCAAGAAATGGAACATTCATTATTACATGTGGGGTCTAAAATAGTTGGCCCCGGGAGTAGGCCACCGGGCCGTACGGCGAAGGGTGAACATAAAGTTTGCTGCAAACATTGCTACGTAATCTTTATTTATTTAATTGGATACTTGAAATTGCTTAATATCGATATAAAAGGTCCTATTTTGTGGTCTCATTTAAGGTGGAACATTGCACTTTTTATTTTTTTTTAAGTAATATTTATTTATTATTTAAATGTTATATAAATAATTACGATTTTTAAGTTAATTTCATTATTAATTGATTCATTGATTGATAGTGCATAGTATTCAGCAGTTTCGCAATTTCTGGACGATAAACTGTAAGTAATTTATACAATAAATTATATTATTATTATTGAATTATGGAATGTTATCTTTTTTTTTATACAACTTAGAATGGCAAACAAGCTGACGGCCCACCTGATGGAAAGTGGTAACCGTCGCCTATACACATGAGCAGTACCATGGACATAACAGAGTATACTGTTTCGCCCATGATACCCCCTCATGCGTTGCTATTCCTGAGGACTCTGTACCCAGTAAATTCACGCCATATTCCACCCTTCAAACTAAAACACAGCCATGCAAACATAACTTTCTAAGTTGAAACACGAATGGGACAGAGGTACCCAAGCAATCGACTTTTGTACAAAGTCTCCCTCTGGTAAAAATCTATGTTTTTATCTTTTATATATATAGAGGTAAGATTTTTTGTTTGTATTGGATAAGTTCAAAAAATTCTTAACCAATTTTAAAAATGTATTCACCTGAAAGCTACATTCATTATCATCATATTAGCTACTGAATATAAGCGTTCCTCATGAGGGGAGTTTTGCTAGTAATTGCCAAGATTGATAGGCGGGTTGGCAACTGCAGTTAGGCTTTGGAGATGTTTTAACAGGGACGCTACTGCCCGTCCCTCGTCCTCCCTTAGTCGCCTCTTACGACACCCACGGGAAAGGAAATGGCCTATTCTATGCCGGGACCGCACGGTCAAAAGCTACATTATTAGTGAGTATGGATTGTATTTTATTTTTAAAATGTGCAAAAACATATATATGTGCAAAGCATGGAAAGGTTCCTTAGTTATAAAATGTTATCACTGTTAGAGTATTAACATTGACTTTTTTTTATTTTTCAAAATGAAAATAAAATATTTTATTATTTATTGAGTCTGAATTGGAATAATAAATGATTCCGAAATAATTTTTAATGATAGCACTTAAAAATATCTTAAGACGCCATTGTCGGCCCCTTCCTTCCATCCGTCTTTCCGCAGTTGGCATGATTTTTTTCCCCCGCAGGTGTGACAACCCTTCCTCGGAAGCATAGTTACACGCTTCCGCTTGTCACTCGGCACAATGGAATAGACGTGGTTGGTTAATGCGAATGTAGATTAGAGCTATGGGCCACTTTTTTTTTTTTAACGATAATTAAAAAAAATGTTTCTGAATGGATTTTTTACATTTTAATAAAAAAATTAATGTTTTATTTAGTTTAGATGTTTTATTACATAAACACAGACGTACCAAAGTATGTTTATATATGAGTAAGGTTCCCAAATGAAGACAGAGGTCACGTGTCTTTTCGTGAAAGAATAATGATAAATGGCAAACGACTATCTGCTTGAGTTAGAACGAGACAATAACATCTGGCGTCTCGTTCTTTTTCATATATAGACAAGTTTATTATGTATACATATATATATGCAAAAACATGCATATTTGCTAGTGATCCGGCGCGGATACGCTTGGATTTTTTTTAATAAAATACAGTTCATGTTATTTGCTGATGATGTAACTTTTTATGGTGAATGATTTTACAAAAAAAGTTAGGTTAAATTTGGCGGGGCATCAGTGAAGGATGATAGGTGAGAATGAAGCAGGTCAGTTAGCCCATCGTGACGAATTCAACAAGAATTGTTCACGATGGTTTCCAGGGGGAACCACGTGGAGGTTGACCTAATAGGGCATATTGCTAGCAATGGGGCTATCAAACTTCATTGCTAACAATCCCTTTCCCCCCAAAACATAGGTATTAGATTTCAGCAATCTTACCCAACTTAGCAAATAAGCTGTAATATTTAGTTATCTGTGTATACAATCAGTCAGCTTAGATTAGCGTTTATCGGTCCGTCTGTTTGTCCAGGGTAGCGTGGGAACCCCGCGCACTCCCGCGTCCCACCCCGGCACCATGAGGGTCGGCTACCCTCCCGTAAGTCAATAACAGATTATGTACTGTGCGTGAGATATGGTTTTACTGGTTTCAAATCCTACTTATCATCATATGAAATGTGTTGCAATGTCTTTCATAATGGTGTTTTATTCGCCATTATTAAATAGATTTATTAAAAGACTAGCGGCCCGTCCCGGCTTCGGCACGGGCGGACATTTTTACATTTTAAAAAGTGGTCATTGTGACATAACGATACTAGTTGGACGTATAGTATCGCGACGTTTTTTGTAGTTATTGATGTTTTCTTCAATATTATATGTAGAACATACTTTTGTTCTATCACCAGTAGTTTCCGCAGCGCACGCGACCAAAGATATTTTACGAGTATAGCATTTTTTTACACCTTGAGTTACGTTACTAAAGTTTTAGTAAGGATTCCTAATCTTTTCTAGCAATAAATATATGATACTCAGGGTGAATGTAGCTTTCTAACAGTAAAAAAATTATTGAAATGGGCAAAGTAGTTTTTAAGTTTAATCATTACAAACATACACACAAAAATACAAATCTTTCCTCTTTATAATATTAGTGTAGATGTAGATAAACAAGCAACGTTCTGTTACGTAAATTAAAAAACACGACAAGCTGCCGAAAACGAACAATTAAAAAAAATTTAAACAGTGTTATTTTTTTTTATACCACTGAGGTGGCAAACAAGCATACGGCCCACCTGATGGTAAGCGGTTACCGTAGCCTATGAACGCCTGCAATACCAGGGGTACTACGCGCGCGTTGCCGACCCTGAAGAAACCTCTTTATCCCCCTTTTGAAGAACCCCATGCTATAGTCTCTTGGGAAAACCTCGGCAGGGAGCTCATTCCATAATCTAAGTATTCGTGGGAGAAAACATCTCTGAAACCGCATCGTACGCGACCATTCGGAAAGATTCTAATCCTACCCCATACATCAAAATCTATTAAGGCCCCGCCTTAATAGAAGGGATTGTTAGTAATTCGGACTCCCAGTATACCTATATCGGTAGCTCAGGCGGGGTTACCACTCCATTGTCATTCATTAAAAAATCTATTCGGGTATTTAGAAGTCATGTAAGGAACTCACTTATTTACCAGAGGGAGACTTTGTACAAAAGTCGATTGCTTGGGTACCTCTGTCCCATTCGTGTTTCAACCGTAAAGCAGTTGTGTTTACACGACTGTGTTTCGGTTTGAAGGGTGGGATATGGCGTGAATTTACAGTGTACAGAGGAATAACACCCGAGTCCCCAGGAATGGCAACGCATGGGGGGTATCATGGGCGAAACAGTATACTCTGTTATGTCCATGGTACTGCTCATGTCTATAGGCGACGGTTACCACTTTCCATCCGGTGGACCGTCAGCTTGTTTGCCATTCTAAGTTGTATAAAAAAAAATGTATACATGAATCCTGAAAACATTAACCATCCCATACCGTTACCATAGCATTTCCATATATAAAAAAAAATCTAAATAGAATTGTTTATCTAAGAAGAAACAAAGCTTCAACTTGTTTAAAATCCGATCAAGTTTCATTTAAATAATCCTGTTTCGTTGTTTAAATAAGTAATATAAGTAAATAAAG